AGGTCTGTAGAATTACATCCCTTCTGCTGAGGACCGTTCCCCAGAAAGACTTGCGGTCTACTCGCGTGGGATGTGATTATGTTCTGATGCCCGGAAGGGCTGGTCTTTCCTTGAACACACATAACTGTGAATACGCACATGATTTATAGGCGTCTGGAAGGGATAGGCACACAAATCTGGCAGTGGGGCACATACACGTATAGAAGTAACAAGACATTCACATATGGAAGTAACAGCTACACACATCTGGAAGTAGTACACATATATACACCTGCCTATATACATATGATCCATAGACGTCTGGAAGGGATAGGCACACCCATATGGCAGTGGGACACATACACGTATAGAAGTAACAGACATTCACATATGGAAGCAACAGATACAAACATGTAGAAGTATTACACATACATATACCTGCCTATATACATAGGATCCATAAACGTCTGGAAGGGATAAGCATACACATGTGGAAGTATTACACATACACGTATAGAAGTGACAGACATTCACATATGGAAGTAACTGATGCACACATGTGGAAGTATTACACAAACATATACCTGCCTATATACATATGATCCAGACGTCTGGAAGTGATATGCATCCCATTCGTATGCGTGATCGTGCACAGTTATAAAGACTAACCATCTTTCTGTTCTTCCTGTGCTATGTAGCCGCCAATGCTGTGCTTGGAGGACTGTGGGGTATTCTATGGGCCCTATTCTGGGGTTTCGGATGCAGTACTCAGGTCAAGGTATGCTGTTATGTGAATATATATATATATATATATATATATCTGTATCTGTGTCTGTGTGTCTGTGTGTGTGTGTATAACTTTCTGGCCATACGCGTTAACCAATCAGCAACTGAAGAACATACAAACCTAATTGCCTGGCCTACATGTATATGGCTTACTTTATACATTACTAGTATTAACTGAGATCGTATCAACATGTAGCTCAAAACTGTTCACCCAAAGAAACCCCGTTTAGATGAATGCGAAATCGTCTACGTAAATGTAAAACCATTAATACAAAATCATGTACATAAGTGCAACTTGGGGTATTAAGGCTAGATGTGTCTGTGTCTGTGTCTGTGTGTGTCTGTGCTTATCATATATTCATAACCGTCGCACTTACTTCTCCCCATATAAACGTTCTTGTCCTAGTATTATCTGTGCTTGATTCCGTATTCCTATACATCTCACTTTAACACCTCCTTACGTCTCATACTTCAGGTGGCAAATTACATGGGTGCAGGTCGACCCAAGGTATGTCACACAACTGCACAACTGCGTTTTCTCCGGTGACTATATTGCGCACACATACGCACAGAGGTCACTGTCTTCTGTGTATGTGAGCGTGTGTGTTTTCCTGTCTGTGTGTGGTGTGTGTGTTGTGTGTGTGTTATGTATGAGTTATGTTTGTGTCATGTGTATCCTATGTGTATGTACTATATCTGTTCAATGGATATTTTCCTGACTATGTGTGCGTGGTGTGTGAGTTATGTGTTTTTAATGTGTGTTATATATCTGTTTTGCGGATACATATCTGTTGTGTGTGTGTAATGTGTGTTATGTATGAGTTATGTGTTTTTAATGTGTGTGATATATAGTGTGATGTGTGTGTTTTGTGTGCGTTGTATATCTGTATGTGTATGTTATGAGTGTGTGGTTCTATTATACTTTCAGTCTTCTTTGCACACTCAGTCGGTTTCTTTGTACAATGTCACGGTGTTGTTATTCTTTCAGTATCCTGTACACATAAGTGGGTTGTTCTCATGTCACACACTAAATTAGTGTCTGGCTGAAGGTGCTGTATTACACTGTTGTCATATACACAGCCGTGCAAGCTTATATATATATATATATGCGTGTGTGTGTGTGTGTGTGTGTGTGTGTGTNTACTTATATATATATATATATATATATATGTGTATGTATAGTATAGTATATATATATATATATATATATATATATATATATATTTATATATATATATATATATAATTCACACGCACGTGCATGTATGCCTATGCATCTCCTCACCAGGTTAAGCATACCCACGATCAGTCCACCTATACATATACGTATATATACATACTTATATACATATACATATATATACATACTTATACATATACATACACATTCACTACATATACATACATACACATATATACATATACATATATACATATACATATACACATATATATCCCTACCCCACAGGCGGCCAAGAAGATGGCGATGATTGGAGGGTTGTGCTCTTGTGTGGTAGTAGGTTGTCTGTTGCTGGTCATTCTGATACTGAAACGGCGCGTGTTTAACATCTACACCAATGACGAGCACATCATCGATCTGTGCATGGGCGTACTGTGGATGTACGCAGGCGCCCTTGTCATCACGTTCACAGGCAAGTAGGACCGCATATACCTGTGTGGTATACGTATATATGTTAGACGTTAGTTGTGCTTGAGTGCGTGTGTACATAAATCTTATATACCTATACACGTATATATGCTGGTTGTGTATCTATATGTACATATGTGCGACATACACAACTACGCCAATGATGAGCACATCATCGATCTGTGCATGGACGTACTGTGGATGTACGCGGACGCCTTTGTCATCACGTTCACAGGCGAGTAGGATTACATATACCTGGGTTGTATACGTATATATGTTAGACGTTAATTGGGCTGTGTGAGTACCTACTTGTATCCTATACTTGCTGATGATGCATGTGTACGTATTGTTCATCAGACGTTAATTGGGCTGAGTGCGTACGTACCTGTGTCATATACTTGTCGACATACACATCAACACTACCTACATCTACAGTATCAATCTATGCAAGGGTGTGTGCTGTGTGTATGTTAACTGGTACTCCTATGATCGCATTCACAGTCAAGTAGTGTTTAAATGGAACCGTCCAGCTGAGTATGCCTCTGAGTATGTACACACACATGTGTGTACATTGCATCTATGCACACACACATGTGTGTATACTACATCTATACACACATATATATGTGTGAGTTTGGTTGCTTGTACTGTTCGAATGAGTGAGAGATATAGCACTAACACACAGACCAGTGCTCGTACCAGGTCCACACGCGATGATGTACTTGTGTATACCCCAAACATGTTTATAGTTATGTACTAGTTACCTACCACATTTGTCTTAATGTGATAGGTGTACCAAAACCCTAAAACCCTACCTGTGCACGTGTCAACAACCGCACCAGAATACACGAATAGCACGCACACGCACAGGCTGATGGTATGTTCATATATATATATATGTATATACCAATGACGTATAGGTTTGTACATGCATGCACAATCAAGTGTAAATTAAGCTATACTTCGCTACACATCCATAACACTCGTCATCTGCAAACACGATACCAAACCCACCTGCACATATTCACACATTTCTCGCACAGACCGATAGGGCTATCCTTCTTCACGTGTCTGTGCATACGTGCATATGTGTCAATGTATGCAACCCCTGGTGCTCTCAGTACTACCTAAAACCCTAAAAACACACCGCTGGTAGACATATACAAAACATTAGACAGACAACTACTGGTATCGACACAAAGTTCATCTGTGTGTACCTCACCGACACAACACGCATCTCGTTGTGGCCCGTATCAGGCGTGTCTGTTATCCGTTCGACGATGTGATCGGTGGATTACATCCGTCACATACCACTCCTCCGCTGTACACGTTTGTCTATATTTGTCGTCTCGATTGGGTACCTAAATCCTAAACCCTACACCCTAACCCCTATCCCCTTTCGATTGAACCCCATAACCCTAAACTCCTAAAACCCTAAATCCCTAAATCCGAAGTCCCTCGTACAGTACGTACCATTCCCCGCACTGAGCTCAACCAGTCGTCCCATCGCAGAATAGCCGTTAAACGCACTCCGTTGAATGTTACGTTTGGTATCCCATCTCAGCCCACACAGTGTGCGGATAACGTGTGAGACGACGCACGCAGCTGTCTGATTTCTGACACCTGTCCGATTCTGACTGACATTGTCAGATGTTTAGGGGGTCTACCTTGTGCTTATCTATCACAGCCGTGTATTTCCTAGCATGTATCATGCATCTGTTTCATACCTCCCAGTGGCTGTCTATTCATAGATCTGCCCTTCTCAAGAGCTGTCTTTTTATAGATCTGCCCTTGCCAGTGGTTGTCTATATATAGATCCACCCTTCCTATTGGCTGTCTTTATAAATCCACCCTTCCCAGTGGCTGTCTATTTATAGATCTGCCCTTTTCAACAGCTGTCTTTTTTTAGATCTGTTCTTGCCAGTGGTTGTCTATATATAGATCCACCCTTCCTATTGGCTGTCTTTATAAATCCACCCTTCCCAGTGGCTGTCTATTTGTAGATCTATCTACCCTCTCACTTCCACACAGAAATGCTCATGGCCTCTGTTCTCACGGGGATGGGCAAAGTGCGAACCGTCTTTCTCGTCGCCTCCACAGCTACATGGTAAGTAATAAACGTACCAAGGCATATCACATGGTGTCACAAGCACATGTACAAACATACGCATGTGTGTGTGTGTATGTATATGTATGTTAAGTGTGTATATAGATAGACACATATGTGCGTATGTATAAGCATGTAAAGTGTGTGTATAGATATACATATATGTGTGTACATATATGCAGTAAAGTGTGTGTATAGTTATACATATATGTGTGTACATATATGTTCGTAAAGCTTGTATATAGATATACACATGTATGTGCACATTCTATGCGTGTATATAGATATACACATATATGTGTATATTTTGTACGTGTATATCGATATATACACATATATTTGTACATTTTATGCGTGTATGCAATTGAATACATTAAGATGCGTTTACTGCTTCATTGTGTAACCGTTCGCACGGACCTGAGCTCCGATTCGTCTGCGTTGCCAGTGCTAATAACACATCCCACGAGGTGTGACGAAGAAGTTAGTAGATACACCCGTATGTGTATGTATATATATGCGTGTATACGTGTATGTGTATGTATATATGTACGTGTATGTATATATTTACGTGTATGTTATACGTGTATGTGCATGTATACATGCACGAGTGTGTATACATGTACGTGTATGTTACACTATATATTTCATATTCAACTATAAACTTTTATCATACATCATTTTATCATATATCATATATACCATGTCTAACTATCTATATCGTATATCATGTATATCCTAAATCCATCTCTATACACCCTGCACCTGATCCTGGCTAACCTATATATACCCTATCAATCTTTCAATATCCCTCGTTACAAACCCTACAAACCCTGCTCCTAAACCGGGCACCTGGTTCATCTGACAGGATCATTGAGTTGCCTGTGGCCTATGTCATGGGTCTGATCTACCACAAAGGTCTGGGTGCTCTGTGGATGGCTGTGCTGTGCATGGAGGTGTACAAGTTCACCTGCTACTTCATAACACACGCACGCGTCGATTGGAACCAACGCGCACATATGGCTGTGGCACAGATGGCCCGGAAAAGTGACGACGAGGATGAGGGTGTGTGTGTTGGAATACGTGCGTCTTGTGTGTGTGTGTGTGTGTGTGTGTGTGTTGATGCATTTTCATGCATGTGTACATACTTGTTAAACCCTAAGCCCTAGTTATATGACGTTGTTCATGTGTATCTGTATATGAATTAAAACTGTCCGTTTTATAATACCTGTTATATGACCATCCCCATGTGTATCTGTATATGAATTAGCACTTTCCGTATTATTAGACCTGTTGTATAACATTATCCATGTGTATCTGGAAATGAATTAGCACTTTCCGTATTATAAGACCTGTTGTATAACATTCTCCATGTGTATCTGGATATGAATTAGCACTTTCCTTATTATAAGACCTGTTGTATAACATTCTACATGTGTATCTGTATATGAAATAGAACTTTCCGTGTTCTATGACCTGTTATGTTCTATGACCTGTTATATGACATTCTCCACGTGTATCTGTATATGACTCTGTACTTCCGTCCGCCTCTGCAGACGATGAGGATGCGCCGCTGATTTCATCGCGCAGGTCGGCGGCGCGCAGTCGCAACTCGTCGTTTGTTGACGGCCTCGCGTCGGGACATTCGAGGAGGAATACACGAGCGCTGTCGAGCGCTATGGTTGGGAGTGGACGCAATTCGGTGGCGAATATCGAGGCCCAGTTTACCAATAATTAGGACATGTCTGTCGGTTGTAGCTGGGTGCGGTTGTGGGAGTATGTGCTGCTTGAAAATATTTTTCATCTGAGGGGAAAATGCCGTGATGTACACGCCGGTGTGTGTTAAAATAATGCCAATGTTTTTATCAAGTTTTGGAGTCAGAAGACATCATTCACAAACACTCGGAAGCATGATTTTAGGGGGTTAGGGTTTAATGATCTACAGTCCGTGGTTGTGGTGCGTGATCAGTTCGTGACAAACGGCGGCAATAATGTTAGGCATCCGACCAGATTATGTACTTTTGTTCTCAATTCTCAATAGCATTGCGAGAATATGATTGGGTTGTAACTTACTGTACTCAATAAATGAATATTCCAAACGATCTATAAAACCCTGGAAGCAGTCCCAAAATACTGCCCCACTCGAACATCAACAATTTTATAATTTTATACAAAAAGCGATCCGCTCGCAGCAAGATTGGTGGGTTCTCTCTGCAGATAGCGTGGGTTAAAATTAACGTATCGATTCTGACAAGAATAGTAAGCACTTCGTATTGCATGAGAAGCTCTATGTCGTATATATACATCCCCTCGTATAAAGACAGATGTAAGTTCCTTAGTTTACAAATTTTTGGTGGGCCCAAATCTACCCCCAATTGGACCGGACTTACTACAATAACTACAGAATCGGCATGATTACCATGGTATATTGACTCTCCACAAGCATCTCGAGAGCTTCCTTCTCCATGAGCAGCGGGCACCAATTTATCCCCATCCAGTACTGGTCGATAGATTGATGTTCCCCATTCCCCGTCTCATCACTCCACTGAAGTACTACTTCCAGATTTTGGTACAGACCAAATATTCGAGACTTCTGGTACCACCTATGATACTCCCCGCTATGGTTAGTCAGTATATTCCAAACACATCAGTTGAGTGGTGTGATATCGGACAGCCCCCAACTTTGCTCCGAAACAGAATTGCGGATGACAACCTCACCGTCCTTGGTATCACGTTCAAAATATCTCAGACTGACTCAGACCATATTATCACTACGAGTGTGGGCCATTTTTTATCCAACGCAATGGCACACAGGTTTCAGATCTCACCCAATGGTAGAGGTATTCTGTATCCATCGTCGTGAAATGACACACCGTATGTCTTCCATCGTTGTATCACTCGCCCCGAGCTTCTTGCGGCAGTTCGACAACCTCAAATTCCCTTCAACTTTCTCAGAAACTCTTCAACGAATATAAAGCCTAAT